TCCCATAATTTTAGAATTTTTACCAAAGGGTGGAGACTATTAAATAAGTAAAGTATTTTTGAAGAGCCCAAAAATAATGAAGCTAAATGCCATAAAAAAGAAGGAAAAATATTGAAATTTAAGAAATTCAGTTTTTTGAATTTTTGCTAATTTTCCATAATTTTAGATTTTTTACCAAAGGGTGGAGAGTATATTAAATAAGTAAAGTATTTTTGAAGAGCACAAAAATAATGAAGCTAAATGCCATAAGAAAGAAGGAAAAATGTTAAATTTTACGAAATTCGGTTTTCGAATTTTTGATAATTTTTGATTTTTTGTTAAAGGGTGGAGACTATTCAATTAGTAATATTATACTACCGAAATAGCTAATGGTAACTAATTATTAATTTTCCGGTCAAATTAAATTCCCGGCTATTTTCTGATTTTCCAGATTGGTAGAAACATTTTTATGAATGTATTGGTAGAAACTAAAACCCGTCGAAGACGGGTACGACAACTAGTAAATAAATAACACGACTAATTTTTTACCAATTTTTTTTTCTTTGTCAGAAATTAAAGAGAAATTATTGCTCTTCAAAATGTTACCATTGCTTCTTACCCGCTTGGATCAAAAACCCATAAAATTTGAAAAAATACCAAACAAATTTATAACTTAAACAATTTTCGACCAAATTTTTTTTCAATGTCAGAATTTAAGGAGGAATTATTGCTCTTCAAATGGTGATCATTGTAAATTTTTTTGATAACCTTTTAATAGCCAGCGTTCTCATCCGCCCGTTTCAGAATACCGAAAAATGTAAAAAAAGTTACAAAAAAAATTCGTAACTGGAATAATTATCGACCAAATTTTTTTTTTCTTTGTCTGAAATTAAAGAGGGATTATTGCTTTTCAAATTTTGACCATTGCGAATTTTTTTAATAAACTTTTAATAGCTAGTGTTATTACCCGCCCGTATCAGAAAAATGAAAAATATGAAAATTCAAAAAAATTCATATTTCGATAAAATTTAAATCCGAGCTAATCTAGCAAAACTGAAATAGGTTTTTTCTAGTTTCAATAAGTACTTTCAGAAACTAAAGTCAAAACTTCGTGCACATTTGATGATCTCAAAAATGTTGTAGGTACTGTCAAATTTAACGAATATTCGTCAATCTTTCAATTTTCTTCATAAACGAATACCAAAATTCTTCGACAAAAATCAATTATTTTTATGAATTTTAATAAAATTCTTTGCAAAATTTCATGTTCTTTCAAAACTTTTTCACAATTCAATGATTTTCATTATTTAATATGTATTTTTATAAAATTATCAAAAAAATTTAATATTAAAAACATTTTTTAAAACAATTTACAAAAACATTCAATTATTTTCATAAATAATAAACTTTCATTTGGGAATTAAATACTTCAAATACTTTTAATACAATTTAATACAATTTTAAATAAATTCCTCGAGAAATGCAATTATTCTTTAAAATTATATTTAATACTTGACAAAAGAATTCAATTTTAAGAATTATTTAATACAATAATAAAATTTGTTGCAATAATTCAATTATTTTCATAAATAATTTTTAATTCGTCGCAGGAAATCAGTTATTTTCAAAAATTGTTAATTAATTCTGCAAAAGAATTCAATCATCTTGCTAAACAACAAAATTCTCCACATTAAACAATTACTTTAAGGAATATTAATAAAATTCTTTTCTAAAATTAAATTATTTCGATAATTATCAAACTTCATCACAAGAATGTAATTCTTTTAAAAAGTAATATAATACTTTGCAGAAATTAAATTACTTTCAAAATGAAAAAGAAAAATTTTATAAAATTCTTGTCACAATGAATGAATTAAATTATTTTAAGAAATTGTTATTTAAATTCTTCTCAAGAATTTTAGAAGAGGATAAAGAGAATTAAGAATATTATTTAAAAAAATTTTAATACAATTCTTCAAAAAATTTTCAATTATTTTAAAAAATTGTTATAAAATTATTTAATATAGTAAGTTTTCCGTAAAATTGTAATTAAATTCCTTAAAGGAAATTTATTTTTTTCAAAAGTTGTTAATAAAATTCTCAGTAAAAATTGAATTTTAAGAAACATTCAATGTTCAATGTTCTTTCGACAAATCGAAAATATGCTGGTATTTTTTCATGATTTATAATAAAATAATATTTGAATTAAAAAAATTATTAACAAATAAATTTTATTTATTATATGCTTCTTTTATAACAAATTTTGTTTGACTGATCTAAATTATGCAAAGTTTTCTTCTTTTAAATTTATTAAAAATATAAAATTGTTCATTGTTAAAAATTACCCTCACAGCATGGGATATCCCGTGGATATCCCATTTCCATCCCGCGACATCCCTTGGATATCCCAGGGAGATCCCATGGGATATCTCACGGGACGGAAATTTGGATAGCCCAGGGATATCCATTGGATATCCCTGGGATGTCCCTGAGATATCCACGGGATATGCAAATTTTTCTTTTGTGGGGTATCCCGCGTGGGATATCCCTGGGATATCTTGCGTGGGATATATGTCAGCGCATGTGTATTAAACGGAATACGATCGTTCCAAGTGTCAAAAGATTGTGTGGAATTATATTTACAAATTAAAGTCAAAAAAGTTTCATTCAATATTTGTTGCATCAAATATTGGTAGATAATATATTAAATTATTCAAATATTTATTCTAATTACATTGTACATTCTAAACAAATAATGCATGAATTACTAGATTAATTACTGAAAATCCAGTATATTTTTCCCTTTAAACAAGAAGAAATAAAATTTTATATGTATGTACTCATATAATCTTACACGCGCAGGCGTCGACCTTCCCAGCTGTTGAGTGTCATGGCGACCATGGCGTCGCGTCATTAGATCAGAAGCGTGTGTTTTGCAGTGTTGCTGTTTAATATGTTTAACTTTCACATTTTTTTAGTTTCTTGTAAATATCTTTAACCAATAAATATTTATCAGTAATAGATAAAATGAATTGACCAAAATTAATTTAACCACACACAATAAATGTTTAGCGTTAAAAAGACATTTTTTATTGAATTCAACTAATGTTTATTAAATCACAAAAAAATAACTTTGTTATTAGTCAAATATAATCTTTTATTTTTAAAATAATTTTTTTCTCATTCTAGTTATAATTTAATAATGGTTTTTCAACTCTTTAAAGCTCTAATTATTTTTCAACATATTACTATTTCTCACGTAGCATATCCCGCGTGGATAATATTAGGATATCCCGCGCGAGTCTCCCATGGGATGGAAATTTGGATATCCCAGGGATATCTCTGAGACGTCACAGATATCCCAGGGATGTCCCTGGGATATCCTAATATCCCGCGAGATATCTCAGGGATATCCCTGGGATATCCTTTTGCTCAGAGGGTATGATTAAAAAATAAAAAATATACCCATTTTATGCATAATTTTTATTTCTCAATAACAATATTGTTCTCAAACTGATTCTTCTCTTTGGAAGAAGAACATTACATATTCCCGTTTCTCAATATTTTTGTAGAAAATTCTCAATTTTCATAAGGAAATAATTTGCATCATTTCTATTCCTTAATTACAATTGCTTTAATAAAATGCAAAGCTTTTAAAAATAAAGGAAAAAAATGTTTATAAATTCTATTTGTCAATTATAAATTTTAATTGAAAATTAAATGAAACTTTTTAAATTTTTAAAAAATAAAGAAAAAAATTTTAGCCAAAAAAATCGTCTATTAGATTTATTTGCGAATTTTTTTAATTATAAAATTATTCGAAAACAGCAACAACATTATCATTTTTTCTCAGGAATTATAGACAGAAAAAAAAATTTTCAATTCCAACCTTTTTAAAATTAAACGACTTATATAAGTATTGTTATAAAACACGAATATATCGATTGCTCCGAGTCAAAGACTCAGTGTGATCGATTTCCTCATGTTTTGTGATAATTAAAAATGTCCTAGTGATAAAATTATTATTTTATATTATAAGAATATTGTTACTCAAACTTCTTCAAAATTATTTTCTTCATTTCAATTTAATTATTATTTTCTAGAATTTTTAATTATTTTTAATGAAAATAATTCAATTCCATAAAAAAAATTTCTTATTTATAAAAATAATTAAATTATTGAGAAGAAATTTATAAAAAATTTGTAAATAATAGAATTCCTGTGAAATTTTTATTTATTTATGAAAATGATTAAATGTTTGCGTACAATTTTATTAAAATATTTTTAAAAATAATAGAATTCATTTTCGGAAATTTTATTAAAATAGTTAATGTTGAAAATTATTGAAATGAGAAAATTTTTTGAAAATAATTGAAATTAATACAATAATTTTATTAACATTTTTGAAAATAATTTAATTTTGTTATATATGGAATTTTGACAAGAGTTTTTTTTATATTTTGAACATAACTGAATTTCATATGAAGAATTTTATTACCATTGAAAGTGATTGAATTTCTGAAATTATTTGGGATTTCTCCAAAATTGAATTTTTTTTAGTGTTTCCAAGAAAAATTTGAATTAAAAATTTCTAAATTCTATTATTTTCCAATAATAAAATTCGTTGTAATAATTCAATTATTTTCATAAATAACTTTCAATTCGTCACAGGAAATCAGTTATTTAAAAAAAATATAAAGTAATTCTGCAAAAGAATTCAATTATCTTGTTAAACAACAAAATTCACCACATTAAACAAATTATTTTAAGGAATTTTAATAAAATACTTTTCCAAAATTTAATTATTTTGATAAATATCAAACTTCATCACAAGAATTTAATTCTTTTGAAAAGTAATATAATAATTTGCAAAAAGTAAATTACTTTTGAAATTAAAAAAAATTTAATAAAATTCTTTAAAAAGTTTCAGTAAAATTTTAATTAAAATTCATAAGACTAAAACTAATGTTAACAAAGATCAGAGAAAATAGTCTAGTAGAAAACTATGAATCTGTGGCTACCTTGGTAATGTTGCCTTATATTTAAATGATTCAGCGCCAGGATTCTTGACTGACCGAAGCGACCAAAGAAATTGACCCAAAACCGTCGAAAATTCGTAGGACGATTCCCAAAATTGATACGTCAAATGTCTAAAAATAAGGAGTGAGTTATTATATTATTAAGTCTGTAGTTTTTAATAATGGATAATCTATTTTATTTTTGAAGAATACAAATTAATAACTTTTTAAAAACATAAATTTGAAGAACACTTTATTAATTGAAAATGAATTTGAAAAATTGAATTCATTAAAGTTCACAGTACCGTTTACTTATATTTAAGAAAAATAAATTTTATAAGTTACTAATATTTAATAAAAAATTTTACGTGGAAAATAAATTAATTTGTGTAAAGATGTATTTTTTAACCATAAAAAAAATTTCTTGAAATGCGTTTCATACTTCAAAATTTAATCGAAAAGTTAAATTTAAAAATTAGTTTGCACTTAACAATATTTCTTAAAATATTGAATTTTAAAAGCAAAATGAAATAAATAATAATGATTATTACCTCAAAATTTCTCCAATTCGTCCTTTATGACCAGCAATCATATAAACTTATTAAAATAAAAATTATCAAAGAAAAATAATTCTGAATTTTAAGTATATTTATTTTTTGACAGCTGATATTCTTTTTTATACTTTGTTTACTGTGAATGCGTGCAACGAACAAGTGATTGATTTATTACTGTCATGTTAACATTTTGTGGTTACTAGTTTTTTATAACATTTTTACATAATAATAATTTAATTATTGACAGAAATGGTTATTATTGGAGGATATTCGTTTAATCCAGATTCCAGGAATCCAAATATTCTAAGGTATTCAATTTATATTTACAAACATTTCATCACATTTCCACAGTAACTTTTTACATTTGTATTTTTTTATTTGAAATCAGCCGGCGTTTTAAATTATAAAACACTAAACAAATTGTATAAAATTATAAAACATGTTTCTTTTACCTAAAGTGCCTATGCACCGCACAGTAATTTACATTTCTCTTCTTTTTTATGGCTTCGAATTATAGGGATCTGAAATACAGCGACACGCTATCTGGTGTCAGATTGACAAACTAATACAACTGGGTCAGATTCAAAACTTTACGTTTGTTTACGAATGTGTCAGCCTAAATTTTCTGTTTTTAATATTTAATTATTGTTTAATTTAAAGTGAAATATAAAAATGAGTGATTTTAATGGAGAGAAAAACATTCAGGGAATGAAATTCAGTCCAAAAAAAACAAAGAGCAAGCGATATTGTTCAGTTTTTAATTGCTCAAGTAAAGCTTGTGTTAACTTGGATATAAGGTTTCATCAATTTCCTCCACCAAATAAAAATTTTGTAAAAGTAATAAATAAAAGCGGAATTGAAGAGATCATAGAACGTAGAAAGCAATGGGAAAGAGTATTACGAATGGGTAAAAAAGTAACTGCAAATATGTGTGTGTGTTCTTTACATTTTTCGCAGGCAGATTACACATTACCAGCAGGTAAGTTTGTGTGTTTTCATTTATAAACATAATATGTACATAAAATTCAATTTATCAAAATCTAAAAAAATGTTAAATTGAATGTTTAATGTATTTTTTAAAAATAATATATCAAATTTTTTATTTTCATAACCTCAAATTAATAAAAATTGTCAAAATTTACGTAGCAGTTTAAATTAGAAAATATTCGTAATATTCATAATAATTTTAAAAAAAAGTAATTTAAATTATTTTTTTTAGAAAACCATGCTGGAAAGCGTTATTTAAATCCCACCGCCGTGCCTTCTTGCAATTTACCATTGCCAATTACGTCAAGTACTGAACAAAAATTAAAAGAAAAATCGAAAGCGCGAGAACAACGAAGAGTAGATCGGCAAATTCAGCAAGACAACTCTGAAATTTCAGTACAAAATTTGAATTTTGAAATAAATTCGAAAGAAAACCAGGAAGCTGTTGAATCTTTGGAATTACCTCAAAATCAAGTTGAAAATGAAATTCCAACTTATGTAGACATCGGAGTTCAAGTTAAAAGTGGAGATTTGTCAGATTCGAATTTTTCTTCGTTTTTAAAGACAGAAATGGATTTGAAGAGCTCTACTGGTATTCCAAATTTTCAAATGCTGGATATGTTTGTCGAGATAGTTGAAAGGCTGACTCCACGATTTAAATTTTACTCGGGTAAATTATCTGTTCGGGATCGGATAATTTTAACTTTTATGAAGTTAAAATTAAATGACAGCTACGCCTTTCTCAATGTATTGTTCAAATCAGTCTCTGAGAGGCATATTCCAAATATTATTTGCAATACTTTGGACATTTTAGGGAATGCCCTAAAATTCGCAATTGTCTTTCCTCAAAGTGAGGAAATTCGAAGAAATATTCCTTTTTGTTTCAAAGATTATTCAGATGTTGCTCTAATTTTAGATTGTACGGAAATCGAGATTCAAAAGCCACAAAGTTTGTGTTGCCAATTATTGACTTACTCGTTGTACAAAGGAAGATTTACGTTAAAATTTCTCACAGCGTGTACACCTGGTGGACTGCTTAGCTACGTAAGCCCTGCATATGGAGGACGTGTTTCCGATAAGGCAATTTTCGAGCAAAGTGGAATCATTCAATTATTGAATAATAATGAGAAACTAATGGTGGATAAGGGTTTTCTCATAGATGACGTGTGTTTTCAGCACGGCATAAAAATTGTCCGACCACCGTTTCTTAGACAAAAGTCTCAATTCTCTCAAGCTGAAGCATTAAATAATTGCAATATTGCTTCTGCAAGAGTGCATATTGAAAGACTAAATCAGAGACTGAAAGTCTTTCAAATCCTCGGAAATAAAATGCCTTCTTGCTTGGTAAAAAAATGCGATAATATAATGACAATTATATCTGCAGTTGTCAATTTAAGTGCTCCAATTTTGAGTGATGAAAGATTCCCTGATCAAGATGTTTTACAATCGCAATGAAAAACCTTGGCATCGTGCAGGACATACGCATCTAAGGATAGAAAATAAAAAAAACCTTTTTTGTCATCCAGTCATCTCAGCATTAATATATTGCAATTTATTATTTAATATGTAAACAATTCAGTAAAACTGAATTATTATTGTTTAAAAAATGTTTTTATATTAAAGGTTTATAAAACAAAATAAGTAAATAATTTACAATAAAATTTTTTTTATGATTTTATTCATTTGACAATCCTTCTTGAATGCAAGCAAAATGCAACATTTTACAAAAATATGTTTTTTTAATGTTTTTAACATTTCTCTAACAAAAGTTAAATTTAATTCCACTGTAATGATCACAAAGCTTTTGTCGAAAGAGGAATAAATTATAAAGTCTGTCAACTCGAGATTAAGAATAGCCATGCCCAATTGCACTTGGCCATAATATGCATGCTTTTCTCTTAACTTAATTTCAGGAAATTTAATAAATTTTAAATCTGCAAGAATATCTTGAACAGTTTTTTCTTTACCCGAAAAAGGACACTTAATTTCAATAAGTTTTACTGGCTTTCCATTTTCAAAAACAATTCCGTCCGGAGAATAACCAAGCCATGGATTTTCTTTTGGAACAATCAAGCCAAATTGAAATACTTCGAGTTTCATTTTTTCGACATAAGCTTTGCGTGCATTTTCTTCTTCTGTAATACCATGCTTCATTGCGACATTTGGATGAAATGCCTTTGGATAGAAAAAATTCAAAGATTTAGCTTCCCATTGAGCATTCGTATTACTACTGTAAGTATAAATTCTATAACAACGAGAACCAGTAATTCGAAATTGACGAGCATTAAACCACTTTTGTCGATTACATTGAGTATCCATGCAAATAACACTAGTCTCCTCAGTGATTCTATTTAAAAAGGATTGACAGCACGATTTAATCTCTTCTTCAATTGATTCATTCTCAAGATTACTCATACTCTGGGAAGGTAAATTTTCTAATAGAGCTTGGAGTTGTGCAAAGTTTTCGTTTACATTATTATTATTATTATTGTGTATATCCGGAACAATTTCTTCGTGTCGTCCGTACCTAATAAATTAATTTTACTTAGAATGATGAAATCAAATATAAAAATGTATCAAAATATGCATACATATATATATTATAATAATATGTATGATATATATTAAAACTGTAAAAATTGATTTGAGTGCAAATTGAAAAAATTCAATTTTAAAGTTAATTAAATAAGTTAAATATATGATTTTAAGAACTATTAACAGCGTACAGATGTTTCGTTAGAGATGAGTTTAAATTAACGTTGTAGAGTCGATCCTTTATAAATTCTTGGTCTTCTTCGGAAATATGCACTGGATATTCTTGATTAAAAGAGTTTGTAAAACATTCATGACTCCTTAATGGAAGTGGATTGTAAGTTTCCAATGTTTTTTTTTGAGGTACGCTCCACAGACATTTAGTGTCTGTGCATGCTGTAACGTCTAGATTTTCTGCTTCAGTTCTGTCAAATTAAAAAATTATTCTTATAAATATTTAACAAACTAATCCTTTGAAATCAAAATTTTAAACATGCCATGCAGAAACAGCGATTATTAAAATAATTCGTTAATTTTCAGCAATGATAATAACAAATAAGTCAACATAACCTATAAATTAGAATATATTGTGTTTATATTTTATCAAAGGGAAAAAGTATTTCTAGGTAATTAAATTAAAAAAATAAACGTTAAAAACATTTTAGATTCAAATTTTGTTCCCAATTTAATGTGTCATTTTATAAAATAATAATTATTTTTGAAAGATATATATGCATACTTACACGTGTAATTGAAATAGAACTGCAATTACATGTTTGCACTTTTCACTCATTCCTGCTTTACAGCTGCACTTCATATTTACAATATTGCTATCGTTAATTAGACCTGTTATTTCATGTGGGTTTTCTCTAATTCCCGATGATTTTAAACAAAAAGCAATTATGTTTACATTCTTTGGATCAACCAAGGAATTTTCGTTTGATTTCTTTCCACAATATATTACATGTTTTGCACGTAACACTTTCTCTCCTTCTGTAAAATTTCTACACGAAGGTGTAGAATTACTAAAGCGACATATTTCAGCTATACTGATCATGATTTTTTAATGTTTTGAAACTAATTTTTAAAATTTACTGTCAATTCGCATGTGTTTACTAAAAACTGACCCCGTTGTCGACGGCCATATTGTTTTGTGACGTCATGATTTCAGATCCCTATAAGGCCAATTCTTTTTTTTCATAAACTGTTTTTTATTATTTGTATTTTTATCTTCTTTGGATTTCCTTTTCCTTTTTTATATATGCAGTTTTGTGTTTAAACAATTAGTGATGATGGTGGAGGTTTATTATCTTTTTGCAGGTTAGAAGTCTATTTGACTCATTTTGCTTCTTATGCAACGTAAATCTAAGTAAGTGGAGTTAGTATGTGGGAAGTAGAAGGGAGGGTAAGGGTGTATCAGAATGAAAAGAGCATAATGACTATTATGTCGAATTCACAAACTTAGAATCTGTAACGGTCTAACGGTACGCATCTCGCACACCATCCTTTTTCTCAACTACCCAACCTTGATAATTGAAATTTTAGTAAGTTACGTAGTCAGAGAGGTTAGATGGATTGTTGTTCTGACAGTTGGCTAAGCCTGAAGTCATTTAAGAAGAAGAAGAAGAAGAAGAGGTTAGATGGATCATGGGTTAGATAGAAGGTGTTTAAATTATTCTGTCAGTCTATCTATATTTAAAATTTTAAATAGTATATGGGAATGAAGGTGGTAGACCTTAAAATGATATATTGTAATAACAACTTGATTACACAAAAAATCATTTCAGAAATGAAAAAATTGAACATTTAGTGTAATTTGTAAATAATTATCAAATAATGCTGCAAAGTAAGATTCAGAAACCATAGAAACACTGTAAAAAAGAATTGTATTTTATAAGCATGCGAAGAAAAAAATCACCACTGAGTGTGTCTTTTTTCTCGTTTTTGTGCATTTTTACCTAACACAGTGTCTATTAATATTACACTGATGAGTGAGAAAATTTTAATGGTTTTAAAACTTTAATTGAAAATGTATTTTACATTCTGAGCATGCGAAAAAATAAATCACTCAGAAGGATAAAATTCATATTGTGTCTTAAAGCAGCTACACTCGGTAATGTCAATTTAAATTAATTATTAATATTAATTAATAATAATTAATGTAAATTTACACGAATCAGTATTTTTAACCTCAAAGCAATTATTATTATATAATGATTTGAAGAAATTCGAGAATTATAATTTTACAATTTCAACAATTTTAACTCTTAAATAAAAAAAAAAAAGAAATTAGTTTCATGAACAACAATATTTTTTATATTCCATACATAGGTTTTAAACTTTTACTGTACAACAAGTGAAAGTCTAGTATTAAAAAATTGATTTTTATTGTTCTCTTTGCGTATGAAGGGTTTAAATATAAACTTTATGTACTCTTGAATTAGTCTTTACTTCAACAAAAACTTGGAATTTATTAAAAGAAAAAAGACTTATTCAAAATAATAGATTGAAATATAATTAAGGGAGACTGGGGCTAAACGTTAAACTGTCAAAACAGATGAAATTAATTATCTTTCGAATAAATGTCGAGAGTTGTGTGACATTCTGTTTATTTTTTTGGTTTCCATATTTACAGTTTGTTTTCACCTTACTTTTAAAAGTTTTTTCGTAAAAGAAAATATCAACTTTAAAGTATATTTTGTATATTTGTTGTTAAAGCCAAAAATGCGCCCTGGGGCTAAATATTAAATAATAATGGGTGAGGCAAAATGTTAAATGTATTTCTCCACCCTTACGGAAAAAAATGACACACATGAGTGTCGTATTTTGAGTGTGGTTATTTCGCTACCACACTGAAAAAATGACACTCAAAAAACGACATGGAAAATGATATACTTGAAAACATCGCTTGAAAAATTATAATTCTAATCAATGATAATAATATTGGCTGATTTAACAAATTAGAATTATTTGCATCCAGTGCAAAAACAGGAGAGATAACGAACAGAATAAAATTCCGTGAATATGACTTAAGAATGCTGCCACCTTATATACTTTTCAAGTTTTGTATTAGTTGCGAGAGAGTTTGAAACAACACCTCCTACGGAGCTTTGAGCGAACTACGTAAAAAGTGTAATTTTTTGAATGTGGTAGCGAAATACTCAAAATACGACACTTATGAGTGTCATTTTTTTCATGCCATTTTTTTCCGTAAGGGCAACGCTTGCTCTGAAAGGAGTACTTTTCTTAGTAGAAAAGTGTGGCGAAAGTAGAACTTTTCTCAACTGTTCTAAAGAGCGGGGCGAAAGTAAAATTTGGCGTGGCGAAAATAAATCATGACCTAATTCTTTTTTCTTGTTCTTTGACCGAGATATATTTTGTATCGAACTTCTTCCCCACTCAAAACATTCGTCTTTTATTATATTAACCCTAGAAGGAATACGTAAATTTACTCACCCGGTAATATAATATTTTTCCAAATGATGTTAACTGTCAAAGAAAAACTTGAACATAACAAGTAAACATATTTACAAAACCATATTCACTCATTTATTTTAACTAACCGTAAACATTTTTATTAACTAATCATATACCTTTTACGAAAATATTACTTTTTATTAACATTAACGATTGTAGAATTTCTTCAAGAAAAACAATTTTTTCAAAAATTAATCAAAAACCCCATTAAAATAATGTTTTAGTGTTTCTGATTTATGAAAAAAAGAATAACAATTTATTAAATTGTGTAAATAATTAATTTATGTTATTTCTTTATAAACTGCGCAATTCAGACTACAAATTTAAATTTTTTTCTCAATTGTGCATTTTTTATGAGTAAAACTATTACTAATGATAAAAAATTAAAAAATAATAAATTAAACATTGTTTAAACAATTAATTGTTGTTATTTTCTTCATAAACTATACTTATAAGTGAAGTGATTAAAAAACTAGAAATTTCTAGTCTTATAAGACTAGAAATTTCTAGTTTTTTCTCAATTGTGCAATTTTTCAGGAGCAAAATCTGTACTAATGATAAAAAATTTTTAAAATTATTTATATATTAAATTATTACTTCCTCATAGAGGAAGTATTGTAATACCAAAATTTTTCGAGTTCGATTTTTTGACATGT